GGCACAGATTTTCAAGAGCAGGAAAATAGAGGAGGTCTTCCAGTTTTATGTTACAAAAGCACTTTCCTTCTCAGTTTTGCTCCAAAAGTTGTTTTTGTGTAATATAGTTTGCTTATGTATTCCCTTAACTGTTATGAGTGTTTTTTTTTAGGCTGAATAATCTGCAGGTCCAGGTGACTGTTATCCCAATATGTGAAATTCCAGAAAGATGTAATTCAAAAATACAAAATCAGCACATTGGCATAAAGGAAACAAGGTTAAACAGATGAACGTGTGGCTGAAAGCCTAGTTTTGGAGAAGTAGGTTCTGGTCCGTGTAGCACTGTCACCAATACGGGAGAAAGTGGGATCTGTACCAACGATATGGTCAAAACCTGAACCGTACTGGGGCTGGTGTTCTTATGAACCATGTAAGTAAGGATGTAGAGCAGGTTTTAAAGTAAATAGTCAGGGCAAGGACCCAAATTTGGGAAGTTGTGGTAAATCAAAGAGTGGGGAAAATGCAGCAGAGGAAGGAATTAATGTGGAAAATGATACAAAATGACAATAAAGGGACAGAGAATGCAGATGAAAGAACAAATTAACAAATACGAATAGAGACTGTAAAAACAACAAAAGGAAAAAAAACTTAAGGCACTGTATTTGAATGTACATAGCAATCAAATGAAAATAAGTGAACTGTTGGTGAAAATCGAGATAATCAAGTACAATCCAGTGGTTAGAACTGAGACATGGCTGGAGGATGACTTAGATTGGGACCTGAATATATAACAGTATATAACATTTAGGAAGGACAGGAAGCTAGGAAAAGGTGGAGAAGTGGCTCCGCTAATTATTAGAAAGTGATGACCTAAATTCAGGAAATCAGGATATAGAAGCAATCCAGGTATGGATGAGGAACAATAAAGGCAAGAGATCACTTGTGACAATTGTCTACAGGTCTCTAACTGCAACCACATGGTAGAACAGTATATCAAGGAATAAAAAATGAGGTATAATAAAACTAAGGACTGCAGATAAAGTGATTGCAGATAAATTGAACATATATCTTATGTCAGTCTTCACTTGAGAGGATACAAGTAGCATCACAGAAATAGCTATAAATCAGGAATTGAAAGGGAAGGAAGAACTCAAGAAAATTGCAGTTACCAGGGAAGTAGTACTGAGTCAATTGTTGGGACTGCGAGTTGACAAGTCCACAGGCCCTGACAGATTTCATCCCAGAGTCTTAAAAATGGTAGCTGTTGAAATAGTTAATGAATTAGTTTTAATTTTCCAAAACTCATTAGTTTCAGGGAAGCCTCCTTTAGATCATACAGTATCAAATGTAGCTCCTTTATTCAAAATGATGGAGAGACAGAAAGCAGGAAACTACAGGGTGGTTAGCTTAACATATGTCATAGAATCATAAGTAGAGGGGCTTTATCACCAAAAATACGCTAAATCTACACTAGTGCTGTAAGCATTGAATGTTATGACATTTCAAGTGCACATCCAAGTACTTCTTAAATGTTTCCATCCTCAACTATTGTCCCAAGCTGGGCATTCTAGACCCCTACCATCCTCGGGATGAAATAGTTTTTCCTCAAGTCCATTCTAAACCTCTCTTGTTATTGAATCTTCAACTAAAAAGACAATGGCTATTTTCTATCCACGGTCCTCATAATTGTATACATCTCAGTCAGGTTCTCCCCTCAAGCTTCTCTGCTGTAAAGAAAATAACCCGAGCTTATCTAGCCTCTCTTTGTAGCTGAAATGCTACATTCCAGGCAACATTCTGGTAACTCTCCTCTGCACCCTCTTCAGTGAAATCACATCCTTCTACGGTGCAGTGGCCGGAACTGAACACAGTACTCTAGCTGTGGCCTATCCAAAATCCTGTATAGCTCCAACATAACCTCCCTGCTCTTATATTCTAAACCACAACTGATAAAGGCACGTGTCCATTATACCTTAACTACCCTATTAACCCACACTGCTGCCTTCAGGGCTCTGTGGACATCCACCCCAAAATCTCTCTGTTCCAGTGAAGTTTACAGGATCCTGCCATTCACTGAGTACTCTCTTGGCTTGTTACTTGTTTCAAAATGCATCACCTCACACAATCAGGGTTAAAATACATCTGCCAATCTGACAAATCCTGTAATCTATGACCTCCTTACTCACCGTCAACCACTCGGCCAATCTTTGTGTCACCTGCAAGCTTACTTAAGATCCTGTCACATTTTCATCCACATTGTTTATATATAATCACGAACAATAAGGGACCCAAGCATTGGACACCGGGCTCCAGTCACACAATCAGCTCTCTACCGTCACCATGGCCTCTGGCTCAGTTCTGCTGACCAAGGATGAGACTAATAGAATAATTCACAACTATCAACAGTATTGATTATCAACAAATAGTATTTGTTCAGACCAATATTAAGGGAAGTATTCCATATATTAAATAATTATAAACTATTAACCTTCCAGCTTCTCAAAAGTTGCAATTCTAATTGTCATCTCTGCTACCTCAGTTTTAATTCATCTGCTTCACTATCATCAGTTTCCATCTCTAGATATTTCACTGCAAGAGAATTATTATTTGCAGTAAGTTTTTAGCCCTGCACAACTAAGTCTTTTCTAACAATATAAAATACCAGTTACGGATCATAATATCATAAGAAATACATTTGGCTCCTTGGGCCTGCTCTGTTATTCAATCATATCATAGTGGCCTTAACACCACTTTCTTGCCTGTCAAACATAATCTAAAACACAAAGAAATGTGCATAACCCAACCTTGAATGCATTCAATATCCAAGCCTCCATTGCCCTCAGTGGAAGAGAATTCCAAAAATTAACGGTTACCCTGAGAGAAGAAATTTTTCAAAATCTCCATCTAAAATTAGAGACTTTCTTTAAAAATATTCTAGATTTTCACATCTGAGCATCAATCCTGCAGAGTCTCATCAGAATGTTATATGGTTCAATAACGTGACTTCTAATTCTTTGAACTCCAACCAATATGAGCACAACTCGTTCAACATTTCCTCATAAGATGAATTTGTGACAAAACTTCTCTATTTTAATACTCAAACTTCCTTGGAGTAAAGGCCAGCATTCCATTTTCCTCAATAATAAATTATGTTTATATATAGTAGTGTACAAGATTCAACATCTTGATTTTCTGAACCAAGAACATTTATCAGATAGTACTGATCTAATAATTCACTAACAGAGCTACCCACCTCCTTTCTCTTTATCCATATTCTACAGAAATGTCAAAAAGCCAGAATATTCAGATCTCATCCTGGTGACCTTTTAACTAGGTCACTGTAATGGCTGTCATACTCATTTATTTCTATTTATCCTGTTAATCCATTCAGCTTGTTACAATACTGCATACGTTCAGTTAAAGAGCTTTTAATTTTGTATTTTTACTGTCAGTAGTAGGCAGGAATGTGCAGTTGAGGCCATAATCAGATCAACCTTAATCTTAAGAAATGGTAGAGCAAGGTCAAGAGGCTGAAATGTCTAATTCCTGCTCCTAGTTTGTACATTTCAACTTTCTTAAATTTGACATTTTTTCTGGGGCATTGATATGTTCATATGCTGTGACCATTCCCATTACGCTCTGGATACCATTATTTACATTATTAACATGAGCCTACCCCAAACCCCCAACTTTCCTCCAAATCATTTAGTTTAAAGCTCTATCTACAGAACATTGGTTCCTCTGCGGTTCAGGTGAAGATCACCCTGATGGCAAAGCTCCTTCCTTCCCCAGTAACTGGTGCCAGTGTCCCATGACTGGTACTGTTTCCTACTGAGCAGAGAAACTTAACAGAGGCATTCAAAAACAAAGATTTTGGTATAGATTGAAGGTAAGTAGCCAAAAGAATCAGAGGTGACAGGAGGTTTTTTACCCCACAAACAGTGTTTTGTTAAATGCACTGCCTTAAAAGGTGGAGGAGGCAGATTTCAGTGAAAAAAAAGAACAACTTTCATTTGGGAGTTAGAACAGTACAACACAAGAGCAGGCCCTTCAGCCCACCAGGTGTGTACTGACCATGACATTTTAAACTAATCCCATCTGCCTGAACTTGGTCTGTATCCTTCTATTCCCTACCTGTTTACGTGTCTGACTAAATGCGTATTAAACTTTGCTGATATACGTATAAAATGCCTTGGGATTTTCCTTAATTCTACTTGCCAAGGGCATTTCATGTCTCCTTCTAGCACTCCTAATTTCTTTTTTAAGTTATTTTCTGCTTCCTTTTTACTTCAAGGGCCTTGTTTGATTTGTGTTTCCTAATTGGGTAAACATTTGAAATGAAAATTTTCACAGAATTATTTGAAATGAACTGGCAAGTGAAGCCAAGTGGAACCCTTTCAAGGAACTAGCAAAAGCTCAATGGACTAACTGGTCTCTTTTTATGCCACATCATTCAATGATTTTAAGACAGTATCCAGTGTATATACATCATATCAATTATTCATTGACAAAAACTTACATTTACTATATTCCTAAACATCTTTGAAAATGCTTGATAATGTGATTAAATGAACAACTAATAGCTGAGAAACAGTTAAGTGATAGACACATCATTCTGAGCTCATGTATATAACAGGAACCCTAAATCAGTTCTTACAATATTATCAATGAAATTCTGATACCTTTAAGACGAAATAAACAGGCCACAAACACCACACTACTTTGGTTCTTTTACATGCAACAATTGTTTGTGTTAATGGTGCTTGTTACTAATGAGTATTTTATGCTCGTTAAAAAACTGTAGGACATAACTGTTAGTGCATAATCCTATTTCTAATTTGTCAATTTTTGAGACATATTAATTATAGACATGATGCAGTAATTTTAATGCTTGCAAAATATTCCAAGTGCATGTAGTTCTACCAAGTGTGAAGTAGTGGTAGTTCCAAAAAAAAAGACAGACTGATTACTTCACTGATACAATACATTATTAACATTAATAATATTGTACATCATCTTACCTTTATCCATGTTTACTGGGGACATACCACTGAGATCAGTAAACTGAAACACAAATAAGTTAGATTTATGAATCTTAAATCTCAGTACAGATATTAGACAAAATAAAAACAGGGTTTATCATTCATGGTATACGGAAGTTGCTTGCAAGGCCAAAATTTCAATTCTTGAGGTTGGTGGTCAGATGTCTCCTTGAATTGCTGCCGCTCAAATGATGTAGGTGCATCCAGTGTCGTCAGAGCTGGAGTTCCTGAATTTTGATCCATTGGCAATGAAGGAACTGTGATTTAGTTTCAAGTCAGGATCCAGCATGCCTTGGAGGAGAATTTTCAGCTAGTAGTGTTTCAATGTGACTGCTGCCCTTTTTCTTCTAGATGGTAGGGGTCAATATTTGGAAGATGGTGTTGAAATAATCTCGGCAGATTGGTACACTGCATTTTGAAGAAAGCACACACTAGGCTGGATCTTTCTGAAGGTGGGTAGAGGGGAGGAGCTTGTTGCACTAGTAAAATGTTATGTACGACCTGCCTGCCGAACCTGTCTCCCATTTTACACAGGCTGTAGATGAGTTCGGCAGCACGCATTCTGTGAGTTGAGGAAGGCCCTTAGGTGGCCAATTAACATCTACTTGACTGCTTCCATCAGCCTCCGCCCCCATTTTAGATCACAGCAGAGGGAATCCTGTACTAGGTGGATAGATTTTAGTAAGAAAATTGGAGAGAGGCATCGGGGAGCCTCTTTGGTGAAGTCCCTATTGGCAACTGTGATTCTTCACATGGGCCTGGCCAGCTAGGCTGCTCCCACCCACCCAAATCTAGACTTACACAAGTCTGACTTTCATAATCCTAAACTGTCCCCAGTAGGGACAACCACTCAAACCTGGTGCTGACGGGACTTAGGAGCTGTGGAGCACTCTGACTGCCCAACAACTCTTTAAAATATCCCAGACAGGGGTGAACGTCTTGCCCTGAGACAACTAACGCTGTAACAAATGTAAAATGGCTGCGTGGCAGGTGGCTTTTTCATGCGTTTTCTCCAGGTTGTCCATTTATTTTGAAGGGGATGGATGTGGGACAGGGATCATAGTACCTCGTAACCTAAAGCTCATTGTTTCTACAGTTTATGAATGATTTTTAGGGTGTTAGATGGGCCACAAATTATATGGGCTATTTTGTCTTGGATGGTGTTGAGTTTCTTGAGTATCATTGGAGCTGGACTCATACGGGCAAGTGGAGAACATTCCATCATACCTCTGACCATGTATTGTAGATGCTGGACAGGGTTTGAATGTCAGGAACTGAGTTACTCACCTTGTCATGTACAGCCAGCAGGTACAGCAAGTAAACAGGAAAGCTAATAAACATTATCAATTATCACGTTGGGAGCGGAATACAAAAGTAAGGGGGATTAAATTATGCAGGGCATTGGTGAGACCACATCTGGAGTATTGTGCAGAGTATTGGTCACCTTATTTAACGATGGAAATGCACTGGAGACAATTCAGAGAAGGTTTACCTGAAATAGGTGGGTTGTCTTATGAGGAAGGCTAGGTTTATATTCTTCTAAACCCTCCAGGGAATAAGAATTGTCTTGACTGGAACACACAAAATCCTGGAAGGTCTTGAGAGGATTGATGGGGAGAGAATGTTTCCTTTTTGAAAATCAGGGTTTGTCCATTTGTAGCAGCTATTAGGAAAAATCTTTTTTCCAAGAGGGTCAAGAGTTGATTGCCACAAAACAAGTTTCCTTTGATATAACCAGGTATTTTATAACATGGAAATATTCCAATTGTAGGAAGTAGAAGAAAGAAAGCCAAAAGAAAAAAGGAGGGCAGAAGACAGTGAAAGAATTGTAGGCAGATGATGGAGATGTGTGTAAGCACCATAGAGCTTTTTATATACTTGAGATAAACTATGTATTGCCATCACTGTACAAATTTGAAATGCTTAAATGGATACTAAAGGGTATTGCACCTTCTTTAAGGGCCAATTTGAGTATGCTTCGACATTGCAGAAAATTAATAGCAAAAATATACTGTGTACAAAGTTTCAAGACTAAAATTCTTACCTCTCCCATTACTGCTATGGGTGTTTCCCCAGTAGCTTGAGCCACCCTGTGTTCCACCAGATAAAACATATACTCATCATACAGCAGACGAATCAGATGAAAGGAACCAAAACTTGCTGCACTCCGTAGGGTCAGGTCTCGGATAACCATGGAACTATTGCAACAAATAAGTTATGAGGTTAAGTGATCTTCACTTTCATAAAGTGACCTACTAGCCAATAGTCTCTTGAACTTTTAGGCCAGTAATTCACATACCACATGTGCGAAACTCAGTCACACAGATCATGAGTTTTCAAATTCGACAACCTTCCTCTATGTCAGAATAGTTCATCTCATCTTGGACGGTAATGAGTTGCTATGATTGGATTCACTGTTCATGGTCTAGGGAGGAATACTATCACCTATGTTTTCTGTTGACAATCAAAGATAAATAATCTATACAACATATTGGTTGAGAGAATGAGATTCGGTTGTGATGATCCTTCACAGTGGCAGACTGGTGATACTTGCTATTTAGATTAATAGTGAAAGGAGGTACCTGTGGATGAAGGATCAGATAGTTACTGGCATATAATCACACATCAGCATATTATACCCTTTCAGAGAGGGCAGCAGAAAAGGTATAAAAAGAGAACAATAGCCAAATTTGAATCTAACAGATCTATCAAGTTGATAGAAGCTTGAGGTTGGAATTAACCGTGTAATGTAAGGCCTGGAATACGGAATATTTTCTCTTTTTTTAAATTCACTTGTGGGACATGGACATCAGTGGCTGGTATTGCTCAACTCTGGCTGTCAGTGAACTGAGTGGCTTGCTAGACCAATTTAGAGGGCAATTGAAAGTCAACCACATTGCTGTAGGTCTGCAGTCACATCCAGGTGAGGATGGCAGATTTCCTTCCTTGAAGGATATTAGTGAGCCAGATGGTTTTTCCAACAATCACCAATGGTTCTTAATTCTAGATTCTTTGTTTTTTATTGAATTCAAATTACACCATCTGCCATTCAAACCTTGGTCCCCAGAATATTAGTTGAGTTTCAGGATTAATAGTCTAGCGATAACGATAGATACCTATCCACACATTCTGTTGTCACCTTTGTAAATCTCTTCTGCAGCAGTTTCTAGTGTGCATATCTTTTCTATAATATGATGACAGAGCTATGGAGTTCACTTACTGCGGTCTAACAAGATTTGATTCAGACTTAGCATAACTTGCCTACTTTTCAATTTAATCCAGCTAGAAAATACGCTTAACATTGGGCTTGTTTTTTATTAGCTTTGTTAACTTGTGGTGAAACTCCTTGTGATTGACATATTTGTACTTTGAGATTCTTTTGTCCCTCTATTTCAGCTGGACGTGGAATTTCTATCCAACAAATAGCCACCCTAATCTTCCTGTAGGAATATATTACCTCACATTCATTGGTTTTGAACTTTGTCTACTAATTATTGGCCTTTTGTGCAGGTTTATTCATGACCTGCTGCAAATTCTTACATTATATTAAATAATTAAGGAACAGATAAACTCAATCTTCATTAAAGATTCTAAGGTCTGCCTCAAGCCTACTATTCTCCAACAGATACAAAAGAACAATCGTTGCATTTCAAAGCAATTTAAGTGCAGTGTGGTGCATTAATAGTTTTTTGAGGTACTGTATAAATGCAAGGTATTCTTTCAATGTTAATATCTGGAGAGTCCTTAGCCCTACTCAGAGCTCAGATAGCCTGAGAAAGTGCTTGACCTCTACTTTACTCAGATGGTATGCATCACCTTTCTGGTTTATTTTATTTCAGATTATTTATGATATTATAACTGCTTGTTTCTTTCTGTTCTCCAAACCTACCTGTAAAAGGACCACTTAAGCAGGAACTGACGGGCAGCTTTGGGAAAATTAGGACTTCCTTCATATGGCTTCAACACCTGTGTTACCACATTATCAAGCCAAGCGGCCCACTGTTCCAGGGTACTTTGCTGCTGAAGGGTCATCTTGAAGTCATGTTCCAGTCTTTGTACTGTGCTGTCATCACACTGACATACCCAGGAAGCCTGCTCCTACCAAAACATAAAAAAATCAAGTTTATATTATCATTAGTATCATACTAGCAAATACCTAGACATAATCTGTGCAACAGTTGAATGGAAAAAACTTTAGTGTTTTTGAGCTCTGAAGACTGGGCCAAGGTCTGTCCTACAGCTGAAGTGCAACCAAGCCACAGGTCATAGCTATGTCAGTTGGGGTGCTGTGGAGACATCCATCTGGGGCCTGGGCTGTCCTCAGTCACAGCCAATGTCACCCTTAGCTGCACAGTTGTGCATGCACGCAGCCACCTCTATGTTTGGCGCATGGCAAACAGTGTGCCAATATGAATTGGAGCACTGACTTCCAGTTCTGAAAGTCCCTACCATGTTCAGACCTCAAAGGTCCACACAGAAGAAAAGAACATGAGAGGTCATAGCGATCCACTTAAGTCAGTCCAGGGATATGGACATGAATGGTTGGGGGCGTATTATGGGGAAGTCTGTGCAGTCCTGGGGAGAGGGAGGAGCTCAAGACTGAGGTCTGGGATCCTTGGATAGATGGCTGGCTAACCGGCAGTTCAATTGCCCAGCTATTTCTGCTGAATATCTGTACAGAGAGTAGAATGGAGACCTCTTGTACATGTAGCGATGTTATCTAACTGTTTTATAGGTACAGCCCGAGATTTGTGCATTAATACAATATGCCTTTTTCTCTTTGAAGAATAGGAAAACTATTCTGATTAATATATACAAGGATGCACATTGGTACATTGTTTTTATACGTTAAGATAATGCTTTTGCAATATGGCCAGATCTAATCTTTATACAATTATCATGACTTATTGAGAGAAGCACTCCGTAGTGTGCTCTCTGTCGTTGTGGATGGATGTGCATGCATCATTGATGTTTGGTATGATATTTGCAGTATCAGAGGTGTATCTTGTCATCTTGTATGATGGACAATTGGGTCATGTACAACTTGGATGTGTTATCTGTTTCATCGTACAATTTGACCATTGTTTGTGACAATATTGCTCAAACTGAGTTGGACAATAACACTGTAATATCATTCCGTGAATGGAAGTTTATCAAGATCTCAAACACTGATGATCTGTCCAGGTTCAAGTTGGGACATCAGTCTATATATTAGTTGATCATGCTTTTGTACGATTTTCTCTCATGTTTCCAACAATGCTGTGGTGATGGTGTGGAGGAATAATTGTGGGGATCTGTCATTCATAACAGGAGCTGCTGGTGAGGATAAAATATTACCTTGAGTAGCTGCAGGTATATTTATGGCTATCCAAAAATCTTGGCAAGCAGCTGTGTATTAATGATCATGAACTTTATCATATTGACAGCGTGTTCCAAGGGACAATTAGATTGATGACAGTCAGAAAAAGACTGTTTGGAAAGAGGCCGTTCAGCCCATCAAGTCTGCACTGATCCTCTGAGGAACCTATCCCTGTAAACCGCATTTGCTGCATGTTTTGGAAGGATGCACTAGCATACTAGTGGGATTTATGGGCTTAGGTTCCGCGGAGAGTCAGTGTGAACTTGATGAGCTGAACGGCCTCTTTCCAAACCATCAGGATTCTGTTTCTCCAGACCATTGTTGGACCCAATTTGTTGAGGAACAACAAACATACTGAATGACAGTTATTATGTCAATAATTGCTACACAAGTGGGACCTTTGATTAGTCTCACAAAAGGGAGCTTAATGAAGTAGCCAGTCACCAGAATGTAGTTGTAATCTTGGAAAATATCAGTCTCCAGCAGTCCTACACCACCACTTAGTTCCACTTCAAAGTTCTCTTTTTCAAAATTTTTACTTCTTTGCCTAAAGTTTTGATGATTTCACCTAACATTTCTGTTTGGTTTGTAGCTGATTTTTCCTTCTCCAAAGATGCCTTTGCGAAGCATCTTTATCTTGTTAAAAGTGTGCTATCGATTACCAACCTGGTACTTGTTTCCTATAGTTTCAATTCTTCCCAAAAGCTAAGTTACGTATAAAAGGGTAAGCATATTACCACAGCCACTTAAAAAAAAATGTAGGATCTCCTGTATGGCATTTGTTGAAATTACGGTCTGAAGAGGATATTTTTAAACTCTTAAAACTGGTTCAGTTTGTCGTTTCACAAGCACTTATACTGGTGGTATCTTGAAGTATTCTTTTGCTTCTGTATGACCTCATCCTGAATGAAGTTGTTTGACAGCATGGCACTTTTCTGCCCCACTCAAGGCTAATTTGTAATCTTTCACAGATAATGGAGAACTGGGTCACTTAATTATCATCTCATCAAGGGATACATAATGGAAAATCTTACAATTTTTGATGCAATTTACCTCAGTAAGAAGGATACTCCTATGGCACGTTTTTCTGTTCACACATGCAATGATTTCTAAATTTTGTATTACAGAACCATAGGCTTATATTAGAGTGGAAAAAGCCCAAATTATACTACGTTCATATAATTGCTGTGGGAGTACTTGAAGCACATTCTGAGGAACAAAAGTGGAAAATTCTTCCACTTTTTCAACTTGGACATTCTGCACCTTAATAATCAGAAAAATTTGCACATAAATACATGATTTGTGTGAATTTTGTATCTGCGGCGCCAACTCAAAGTCCCCTTAATAAAGAGTACAGACTCCTTCCTAACAGTGAGTAGGTATGAAGGTGCTTTAGAGATTTCAATTCAGATTTAAAAAGGCAGATTTTTCTTTATAACTGTCAATTAAGTTCTCAGCAGGTATGCCCTGGCTATCTTTAAAAAAAGACAGCCAGTGATTTTCTTGATCAAATTTACTTGCATAGCATGGCTACACATGCCTGCACCCTGACTGCGACTTCTACCTGAATATTGAGGAGGAAATTGAAGTGTAACTGCTAGTTTGAGGGGCTTGGAGCTGCAGTATAGCCTGCTCATCAGGAGACCTCTTTTTAAACATTTTGTAGAATGTGAGTCTCACTGGCAAGGAACCATTTGTTGCCTATCCTTTTGTGCTCTTGTTAAGCTATTGGTGAGCCAGCTTCTTAAACCACTGCAGTCCATGTGATGTAGCTACAGTCACAGTGCTATTAAGAAAGGAATTTCAGAATACCAACGAGACAGTGAAGGAGGAATAATATAGTTCCAGCTCATGATGCTATGTGGTTTGGAGGGAAAATTGCAGATTGTGGTGTTACTATGCATCTGTTGCCTTTGTCTTTTTAGGTGCTTGAATTTATAGTTTGGGGATGTACTGTTGAAGAAGCCTTGTTGAGCTGTTACAATGCATCTTAGATGGTACACACTGCTGCCATTGTGTATAAGTAGTGGAGAAAGTGAATATTTAAGGTGGTGGATGGGGTATCAATCAAGTGGGCTGCTTCTCCTGGATGCTATACAACTTCTCGAGATGATTAGATGATCTCTTCTTGTGTATGGTTATTTCCTAATATTTGTATAACACAAAATGGCCGAATCCTCAATGTTCTCCAGATCTTGGTGCATTTGGACAAGGACTGCTTCAGAATCTGAGTCGTCACAAATGGTACTGAACATTACACAATCAGCAGCAAACATCTCCACTCCAAACTTAAGATGGTGAGGTCACTGTTGAAGCAACTGATTTAGAATCAAAGAATACCTTCATTACAGAAGCAGGCTATTCGACCCATCGAGCCCACACATCCAAAAAGCAGACCTGCACCCACCACAGTGCGCTCCCCCCCAATCCTTATAACCTTGCATTTCCCATGGCCAATCCACCTAGCCTGCACATCTTTGGGGTGTGGGAAGAAACCTACTTTTTTTCTAAATTCGTCATTTTTCTAACACTGCAGACTTTGATCAAATACTGACAGGATGGATATCTTTCACCATTGGTTAAAATCTCAGTTCCTGTTAGCTCAGGATGAAGACAACCTATTGGGACAGAGTCAGATATTTTTTGCTTGCGTTGATACATTTGAGTCAGTCCCTACTTTCTTCCTCCCATGGATATAACCATTTGCTTATTTTCACATTGGTCCATGTCATGGAGCCCTTAGACTAACTTCATTCGGAAAAAGGTGAAAGGAGTGAAAAATTTTGCAGCTGGCTGTAGTTGCATCGCTCCTGGGAGCATTCGACATTGAGACGAAATGATAAGATTGATTCGGCAATGAAACTTAGTTGTGCTCTCAGGCATATTTCACTCATGAGCAGAAAAGTACCAAGGTTGATCTCTACAGAAAAAAGAAAGGCTGAATGTTCAATCTACTTGGATAGCTACATTAGGATGATGATGGAAAATTGTCTTGGCATACTCCCAGTCATCTGTTTTTTATTTTACCTCATCCAGAAGTACTGGCCAAGAATAAAGTTAACTTGCAAATTTGTTGGGGCCTAGCACAGGACCCTGAGGAACTATTTTAGCGATATCCTAAGACTCAGATGATTGCCCAAGATGAACCATGTCTTTTATGAACAGTAAGATCCCACTTCCATTCACTTCAGTTTTGCTAAGTCTCCTTGATATCACAGCTGGTTAAATATTGCCTCGACATTAAGAGCAATCATTCTCACTTCACCTCGAGTTCAACCCTTTAGTTCATCCTCAGACCAATGAGATTAACTTTTGGTGAAAGCCAGACTGATTTCAAATGAGCAGGTACTGTTATGTATGTACTACTTGATAGCACTGTCAATGACATCTTCCATTATTTTGCTGATGACTGAGAATAGACTGATGGGTGTTAATTGGTAAAGGAGGATTTGTCCTGTTTATTGTTTATCACAGGATACACTTAGCCTCTCTTCAACTTCGTCAGACAGATGCCATGCTGTAACTATCTTTTTTTCATTCACAGAATGAGGACAAAGCTGGCTAGGCCAGCATTCACACCCATCCCTAATTGCACAGAGGCCAGTTAAGGGTCAACCACTGTGCTGTGGGTCAGGAGTTGCATGTAGGTCAGACCAGATAAGGATGGCAGTTTCCTTCCTTAAAAGGACATTAGTGGTCCCTCCTTAAAGAATCAGATGGGTTTTTCTGACAATCGAAA